CTGTAATCAATTCACACTAAACTGAAGAAATCGTTACATACCATTTGTCTATTCACCCTGTTCTCCATTTCCAAATTCAGTTTAAGATCTTAGTACTGTTGGCTTTCTTCTTTATAATGCAAGATTATTAAGAAATATGTTGTTGGCTGAGCTTGTGTTCTTTTCGGGAAACATTCCCTTTCCTTCATTTTCACTTCCTCTGCACCCCACCACCTGCCTCCAGCCACTGACGATGTGACTACCTCTGCACCCCACCACCTGCCTCCAGCCACTGAGGATGTGACTAGATGATGGCCGGGTGATACAGGGAGACAGCATTTCCCACGGTGTGTGGAAGATGGCAGGCAGCATAGCCAAGCCGACTCCCTACATCTGCCACCGGGATCCCATGACAGAAAGGGAATGATTTCACAGTCCAGAAGAACGTGGACAGGCAGAAGCCTACCAGGACAAAAACAGAAGCTAACCCAGCCGTGCTCTCTTCACCACCTGCCATTGCAGCCCAGGGACTCACCGTTATCCTCATCTGTTCCCTCAGTTCAGTATGCACTGAAGACACCCAATTAGAACTTTCCAGGAGCCACCTAAAATACCCAATCAGAGTTCCACAAGACCAACTGAAGGCACCCAATCAGAGCTCTCCAGGATCACCTTAAAATACCCAATCAGAATTCCCCAAAAACCCATTGAAGGCACCCAATCAGAACTCTCCAGGAGCCATCTAAAATACCCAATCAGAATTCCACATGCCCCACTGAAGGCACCCAATCAAAGCTCTGCAGGAGAACCTTAAAGTACCCAATCAGAGTTCCCCAAGACCAACTGAAGGCACCTAATCAGAGCTCTCCAGGAGCACCTTAAAATACCCAATCAGAATTTCCCACGACCCACTGAAGACACCCAATCAGAGCTTTCCTACACAAACTCCCGATCCCCTCCCCGCTCTTGCATGTGCCTTTCCTTCCAGTCTCAGTGTCTGTCGGGAATCCTGAGGACTGTTTATCATGATTCACTTAATGTCTGTCTTCCCCCACTTCAAGAAGCTTCCCGAAGGATACTGTTGTGTTCTCTGCTCTATCTTCCAGGTTGGCCCCCAGAGAGAACAATTTAAGTGGCATAAAGAAGAGGCGGAAAGATTAGTTAAACCAAATTCTACACTACCTCATTCTTTGTTGTTACTGAATAACCTTACCAGCACCTCAAAACCAGGAAGACAAGAGAACATGAAGACAAACATCTCACCCCCTTCAAACCTCAGACGCCAAGCATGTTCATGTACAGTGGGGGGAGGTGTGGTATGTGGGGGAAGGTGAGTTGATGTTGAAGAGTGGGACTGGAATTAATACTGTAAATACAAAGCCTTCAGTTCCATGCCCCAGACTGGGATACAGACCTGACTGGAAAAGAACTACCAGGAAATTCTCGAAGATTATCTCATCCCATTGTTCATTTACTCCTTACATTGAGATGTTTATGCTGTCACAACTTTACTGGGTATACCACTTAATCTGTATTTTTCCTGTCGGCATTTAACACTTTGTCTTTTCTTTTATAATCATTATCTTATTGACTCTGCAAATTTCCTTGGGAGAAGGGGGTGGGGGTTGGAAGTGAGAGGTTTTGTGTACCTCTTAACCTTACATCCTGGAAACTACATTTCAAGAAGGAGAATTCTTGTTGCATTTGTGATAAAGACTAAAGAACAATATTAAAGTAAGCAGCTTTTTAAGTTCCTCAGGTCACAGAATGTTCCCAGCCCCTTGAAATTTGCATATACCAACGGTAGGTTTCTACTGAATTTTACTAACTTCTTGATTCAGTGGTCACAAGAAAGGTTCAAAATTACTCTATTGATTTCTAGAATTCCTGAGAAGCCTCATCTTCATACAAGTATCCACATAGAAGTCTCTGGTATGCCCGAAGCAACAGAGAATGGAAGAAAGGGTTTGCCAAAAGGATAACCTTTCCATATTCCTCCAAACCAACATTTAATAAAACATGTTACTTCATTTTTCCTTCTGTTCTTTCTTTTTTTCCCTTTTTAAAGAACAAGCTGTTCTCACTTTAACTTGGTGATCTATTTAGTTGCTTGTTTCTTTACATTTCCTCAATCAGCACCAGGGCTCATTATTCTACTTGGAGTCCTTCTCTGCAGCACTAATCGCCTCGCAAGTTAGTGCCTGTCAGGAGCCTCCACTGGCGCGGGTGACAAGAGAGAAGCTTTTGTGTCCTGCCCATTATCATGGCTTCCCATTGATTGGAAAGACACAGCAACTCCTTCGAGACCGCAATCACACTGGAGCAGTGTTGAGCAGTAGTGTAGCATTAGTCACGAAGTAGGTATCCACAATCTGTGAATTAGCACCATCCAAGTCGATAACTGTAATTAGGCTTAATCCCCCAATATAGAAAAATAAAACAAGAGGAAGCAAGTTTAAATAAACATACATACTCTCAATTCACGGGGCAAATTTCTTAATCCAGTATGTAACACTTACCCCCAAAGCCAAGCTATCCCATTATCACTGTCCCATTATTATTTTTTTTAAAGCCATCCAAGGCAGCCTGTTTTTCTAAGCCTCATAAGAGACAGTCAACTCACAATTACATCTTTCCAGAGGGGAAAGATATAGCTGGATAAATCCCTCTTATGCCTCATTAGAGGGAAACCTATCCATCAATCAATGCCTACAAAAGGGTCTAATGTGACCCTTGGAAGGAGCTGACAACAGTTCGTCAAAATACCCCCAAAAGATGGCAGAAAGCAAAGAAATTAAATGATACTGGCCAAAAAAACCAAATCTGAATCATATTTACTTACACATGGCTGTTCTATACAGAGCAAACATTGTTCCAAAAGTTAAATATTTGCTTTCGGAACAAACCCCTCAAATATAAACGCTCTGGTATTCTTTTATTACTTGCTTTTTAATGTATGGTAAAGCTCTCAGGGAATCTGAAACAAATGTAGGCATAAATTTAACTCATCCGAAATCAGAGTTCCCTTAATTAAATGCATCCTTTAATTATGGAAAGCCAAATGTCTGAATTCTTAGGACAACCTGTTTTAACTGGACCTAAGGGGAGTCCAGAGCCACTTGTAGGTAAAAGGTAGACCGCCCCCCCAAAAAAGTTCAATGACCTTGTAAATGAGGGTCTGAAAAACTGGAATGGTGTGCGGGTCTAAAAAGCTAAGTGGAATTCCGGAAAACATTTATCCGGAAATTGCTTTTTTGGAAAATTACCATGAGGTAGGGGGAGAGAGAAAAAAAAAAAGGAATGTAAAAACCCAGGAAGGGGAGCTTGCAAATGGAAAGATACCTAATAGGAAGTCCCACCGCTGTGAACTGCAACCTTCTCGTGTCCCCACGGCCACCCCAAGAACTTCCAAGCCTCTTTAGATTAAAAAAGAAAAAAAAATGAGTCGTTTTGCCCAGCCTTTGGCTGAACGCTTCGGAGTTGGATGAATGGGGAAGACTTGCTATACACCTAGCGGTGGGTGGATTTCGCCAGGCTGCAGCCTCCACACAGCTTTTCTTTGCTGCACTGCAGAGGCGCCATCTTCTCCGTCTTAGTCTTCACTCAATTCCCTCCTTTTAATGTGCACCCTAAAAAAAAAAGACCCCCGAGGAGGAGCCCGTACCCCCCCCCCCCCACTCCCAGGTTCGCTAAACCCGCCCGCCCCGCGCTGCCAGGGAGGAGGCCGCTGGTTCTGCAAACGTTGCCTTTGATGCCCCGGAGGGGCACGAGCTTGGGGGGCTAGCCCAGCCCGCCGCTGCCCTTTCCCACACGCACACCCCACTCCCCACGGACGTCTCCCCGCACGACTTTGCAGAGCGGGACACGATCGGGGAGCTTGGGAGGGGATGGGGGGCTCCGCTGCAGACCGGCAGGGCTGCCCCAGGAGCACCCCCGCCCGCCCCCCACCCCCACCCCCACCCCGACTCCGGGACGGACGCGCAGCGCCGGGAGAGGGGATGGAGCGCCAGGCTCGGGGGCGCACGGACGATCGCGGGGCTGGCGAGGGCGGGGTGTCGCGGCTTTTGTTCCCGGGGCCCTTTTCCCTCTCCCGGAAAGAGCTGGAGGTGCGAGCGAACGTCCGGGACGTCCGGGCTCGGGGAAGGTTTGGGGGTGGAGGGGGGGGTGGCTGGTTGGGTCTCTGACCACCTCCTCGTCGTCCCCTGCTCAACCCTCCCCACCCTCCTCCCGTCTCTCGTAACTTAACACAAAAGGGAGACGCAGAAATGCACAAAGTTTGCCTGCGGAAGGAGGCGCGCGACCCGGATTGGATTGGGGGTGGGGGGTCCCAGACTCGCCGCTGGGCAGGGCAGCCGAGGCGCAGGACCGGCGGGGCAGGGGTGCTGGGTGCGCCAAGGGGAGGTTGCAGCGGGCAGAAAAGGCGAAACCCGATGGGTTGGGGGGGGGGGGGGAGTCGTGAGGGTGTGTGTGTGGTGTGTGGTGGGGGGGGGGGAACCCGGCTTCCCCAAGCAGCCCCGGCTAACCTCCTGGTCTCCAGGGCCACGAGAGAAAGGGCAGGGCAGCGACGCGGGGCCCAGGACACGACCCCAGGACGCTGCGTTTTCGGGGTCGTCCCCCACGTGCTCCCTCTTCTCTTCCCCCTTTCCTCCATCGGGGCGACTCTCCCGGTCCCCGGCCCGGAGGACTCGGCTCCTGGATCGCCTCCACCCCCACCACCCTCCCCCCCAAGTCTGGTCCCCGATCGCCGAGGACCCGAGCCACCTCGGAGCCCTCGCCAGCTTCCCTCTCTCTGGGTCTCCGGGCAGGGCTGGGCCGGAGGCGGAGATGCGCAGGGCGCCCGCCAGCGGGGGCGTCAGGCGCGGAGGAAAGATGGGGGGGGGGGGCTAGAGTATCTCCCCACACCCCAACCTCTCTCGTCGGCTTTCCTGGGTGGAAAGATGAGGCGGTGGGGTGTGTGTGTTGGGGTGGGGGGGTGCAGGATGAGTTCACCCAGCCCCGCGGCTCCGAGACGCAGCACCCACCTCCAGCGCCCAAGCCGTCCAGGCGGCCAGCAGGACCAGTGCCAAAGCGGGCAGCATCGCGACTGTGCGCCGGGCACCCTGTGCGCTGCCGTGCGAGTGGGATCCGGGCCTCGGCTGCCGTGGTTCTCCCGGGCCCCCTCGCTCGAGCTGCTCCTCCGGCCGCTGCTCGCGCTCCTCCGGCCGCCGAGGAAACTGACGGAGCCAGAGCGCGGCGGCGGGGCTCGGAGCCCGGCGGAGTCAGCTGATGCGGCCCGCCCCGCGCGGCGCCCGACAGAGACCCCTAGCGGAGCCGTCGGGAAACTGCGCTCGGGCGCCGGCCCCGGGAGATGGGAGGGGGGAGGCCCGCGCCCCGGGGAGCCCACAGGTGCAGTGCCCCAAGGCTTCCCGGGCGCCCTCCCCGAACCTCCCCTTTCCCCCCGGCCGCGGGTCCACCTGGATGCCCCAGCCGGTGCGGTAAGAGGGAGAGGCCCCGGGACGCGGGGGAGGTCGCTGCAGGCTCCGGGAAAGGTGAGTTCTAGGACGTTCTGGGGTTTGGGGAAAGTCGCGTAGCGCTCCCTGCACGTTTGCGTGAGCTTGACTCATCCGACTCTCCGGGGATGTGGTTTGTATTCGTGGATGCTGCTGCTGCTGGGGTGCGTTTTTCAGCTGCAATTCTCTCTCTCTCTCTCTCTCTCTCTCTCTCTCTCTCTCTCTCTCTCTCTCTCTCTCTCTCTCTCATTCTCACTCTCACTCTCATTTCTGGGGAAAAATTGGGAAAGAGCTTTAAGGTTATAGAATTTCTCAACGGGTTCAGAGCACCAAAGCATCTCCGCTTTATCCCCATCAACTGCAGCCACCACGAGCCACCTGGAATTTCTATCTTTAGCATCACCCGGAGGAAGAAGGCACCGGCCTAGCCGCCAAGAAGCGGGCGACCCACTTAGTTCTCCTTGAAAGAAGGGTGGGCTTGAAGGGTTGAGGAGTTTGTCTTGTTTGTTGATATTTTTAATCTATCATCTCTTTTTGAAAGATAGTTCATTTGGGATTTTTTTTTTTTTGGTAAGAGACACGCAGCAGAGATTTTTTCTTTTCAAATCAGTCAAGCAGGATACAGGGGAAGTAAGAGGAAAGGATTTTGAGAGATGGTTCCTTTTCCTCCCTTCTGGCCCTGTTTCTGTCTTTGCTGCTTATTTTATCTGTCCTAAGTTGAAGGCATCAACCTTCTGCATCTTCTCCTGGATGCAAGACTGGGCGTTCGGTGCCCCGTTAGTTAAGAATGATCTTGAACTACCCAAATAGCTATGCTGCTCTGGGCCTAAAAGAGCATCCGTCACCAAAGCGCTGCCCACAGAGGGTCTAGTGAAAACAGGTGGATGGAGGGATTGATGATGTTGCCTCTGTTAGGGGTGCTCTGAAGCCTGCCCTTTTCTTTGCTGTTCCTGAATTTGGCTGAAGGTATGCAGAACCATGGGACCATGACTCAGGAAGATGCAGATTTCCATCCTGAGAAGTCTGCATGGATCTGCCAGTTCTCTAAAGGTCATCTTCTGCCCCTTTGCCTTCCACACATCCATTTCCCAAAACTTTGGATTATCTCCCTAGCCACTTCATGTCCTTTGAAAGGCCTCAGAAAAACATTGACAAATATCCATTATGATGCAATATGGGATTACAAGGTTTATGCCATTTAATTTCTACCATGGAAGCCCTTACTCTTAGTATCTCCATGAAGAAGACAGGAAACAGAAACTCAAGAACCTTTCCCAGAGTTGACAGCAAGTGGCATGCAGTTTCAACATCAGGGAAAGCCTAAGTGACAGCAAAATCCCAGTGGCTTTTCAAACACATCACTCACCCTCACAATTCCCCCCAGTATTTCCCCCAGTGATCCAAAAGTATCTGAAGGGGCTGGAGTGATAGCACAGTGGGTAGGGTGTTTGCCTTGCATACGACTGACCAATTCCCAGCATCGCGTATGGTCCCCCAAGAACCACCAGGAGTAATTTCTGAGTGCATGAGCCAGGAGTAACCCCTGTGCATCACCGAGTGTGACCCAAAAAGAAAAAAAAAGTATCTGAAAACCAAGTGAGAGGGGAGAGGGAAAATTTGAAGATCAGAGGGAAGCAGAAACAGCTAGAAAGTCCACCGGATCCAGTGCAAAATAAAAATATTTGGAAGTTGAAAATTGTGTTCGTGTTTCCCTGGCGGTGATGAGGGTGGCAGTGGGGGGTGAATTCTGCAGTGCGCGGATCAAACCCTGGTCCCCTAAGTGCAGGCATGCACTCCTGCCTTTCCAATTCTCAAAAGAAGAATTTTAGATGGGCAACAGCAGAATTTTAATCCAACCCAGGGCTCCCTCTGAAGCCGGGCACTGTGTGACTGCAAGAATGTGCACACTCATGAAGCTAGTCTGAGGAATGAGAAAGCCGTTCAGAGGAGGCCTTTTATTGAACATGAGGTTCAAAAATGAATAGGTGAGGTTGTAATCTATAAAAACAAAAAGTCCGGTGATTTCAGTTTCCCTTTTCACTGATGAAATTCACCACTTTCACATGATCTCTGGATAGGATGTTCCCTGGGGGAAGATAATTAGCCGGCAACTGTCAGAATGATGGACATTCCATACATTTTCTCCTGTTCCATCATTGCTTAGAATATCTGATGCCATTTCTCAGCTATGTTTGCCTTTAATGACATTTCCTGCCTCTGGAGCTGGGGGCGAGGTGGGGGGAGATGGTGGGGTGAAGCAGGGGGATCTAACCACCTTCACTAGTTAAGCCTCTACAATGCTAGGGAAGGGATCAACCACCTAGCCCCTGGGATGGCCCCTAGGACATCACCCGACTAGGGCTAAATGTCTCAGCTTGTGCAACATTCCTTAGCTCATCAGACTGTGCCTTCTCCCTTGGGCCTGTTACGATTCTCGAAAGTTCTTAGCCCATGGAAATCCTTTCTTTGAAACTTCCACTAGGTGTCCTGGTTGCAGCCTCACAGCCCAGCACAACAAATAATTTGCACACAGCGAATTGTTCCCCTATTTGCCAGAAGATTTCCTGCTTCTCCCTCTAGGGTCTTCATTTTTTGCAAGTGAAGACAAACACTTCCTTTAGCAGTTGTGTAGATAATACAGGCTTCTGGTTCCTTCCACAGCGTGACCATTTTCCTCTAAATGCATACTAACCTGTCTGGGTCTTTGTATAAACTCCAAGAGAACTTTACTACTATGCAGGATACTAGTCAGTTGCCTACCTCTGCAAGCTAATAAGTCACTTGATCATAAAGAATTACTTGATCATAAAGAATCAAACACTTGCTATAGACTATCTCCCATGTCTATTCTATGCATAGTGCTGCTAAAACACATCTTCATCATCTTCTGTTTGCGGGGAGTGTCTCTGTGCACCATAAATATCACCTAAAGTAACTTTAATCTGAACCAGAAGAAGGGCCCCCACAGAAGTGTGTTCAAGTTTCCAGGACTAAGGACCACAGTGGGAAATGTATTTTTCTCACAATTTTGGGAGGTCAACAATCAAGGTGTTGATGAGGATGGTTCTTTGTGGGGGAGGTTGTACTACACCTGGAGGTGCTCAGCAGCTACTCCTAGCTCGGTGCTCAGGAATGATCCCCATAACAGGGATCTAACTGGACTTGGCTGTCTGCTAAATGCCTTATCTCATCTTCTCTACTGTCCCAGGCTGCTTCTTTGGAACCCCTGCTTTTTGCCTTGAAGATGGCTGTTCTTTCCCTGTGCCTTCAAATAGTCCCCTCAGTGTCATTTATACCCTAATTTCCTCTTCTCAAGCCATTAGTCCTACTGAATGAGGGCCCACCTTAATAAGCCCATTTCCAATGACTTTTCTGTTTAAGACTCTATTTCTGGATATAGGAACCTTTTGAGGCATTGGAAGTTAGATCTTCATCACATTAACTCGAGACAAATCTGGACAGACTACTCAGCCCATGACAGATCCTCATTCAGAGCAATGAGGAGTTGCCCTATAATCCTGTCATTAATTTTTGACTTTTATAGCCAATGGCCAATGATTCTTGTACCCAATTCATTTGGAAGATCATTCTACTCAGCAAGAGAAAATAAAGAATAAGAAACTAAAGATTTCTTCTTGTTCTCCATCATGCGTTGAAATTGCATAGTGATCGCCAGCAGCAAATTTATCCATCCCAAGATTGCCCAGTGCTGAAAATAATTAGATGGTCTTTTATGATTTTCTTAGACAATCTTATCAAAACTTAAACTTAAATATTGACATTTAAAATCTCTATTAGTGGGGCTGGAGCAATAGCACAGCAAGTAGGGCGTTTGCTTTGCATGTTGCCGACCCGGGTTTGATTCCCAACATCCCATATGGTCCCCTGAGCACTGCCAGGGGTAATTCCTGAATGCAGAGCCAGGAGTAACTCCTGTGCATTGCCAAGTGTGACCCCAAAAAACAAAACAAGAAAATCTCTATTAGTTTCCTAGGACTGACACGACCAAATACCAGGCTAGGGACTTAAGTAATATAAATTAATTTGTTCAGTGTTGCAGGAAGTGGAAGTATAAGATCAAGGTGTTTGCAGGAATGGATTTCTCTGAGCCCCTCTCTTCCTCTGGGCTTGCATATTGCTGCCATTTTGCCATGTTTTCACCCAGTTTTGTCCCTTGAGTATGTACTCTTATTCTTTCTTTCTGTATAACCAAATATTCTCTTCTTATGAGAACATTGGTCAGATTGAATTAGGTCCTACCCTAATGATCTCATTTTAACATAACTACCTCTTTAAAAACCCCATCACCTTGGTCTTAGATTGCAAAATCCAAATAGTGTGGGAAGGATGGAGAGAAAGGAGCAGGTGACTTAGAAATAACACAGGAACAGTGGTGGGAAGTCCTGGGCATTTTGGTGATGGTGAAGGTTGTACAACAAAACCATAAATGTTAACACCATTAAAACCATGTTATCTAAATGAGTAATGTTATAAACTACTGGGAATCAAGCGTTCACTCACACATTTGGAGAGAGCACACTTTAGTCCAAAACAGAATACTGAGACTATTCTCCCATTTCTTTTTTCAGAATGATTGAGAGTAGATCCTGTTTTCCTTTATCAATGCAGTTCATGAATGGATTCTCTCTGTGTTCTTTGGAAACCAGAATACTACCATAAACAGAGTGATTC